CTCTGGCTTGGACTCGGTTTGGAGGGCAGCTCCTCGAATGATATGTGGATCTGGGCAAGCTGCTGGGCAGTGGCTCTGGAGGGCCCACTCAGTGCGGGGAGCTGGCCGGGACTCCTTCACTGGCGGGAGGCAGGCCCCAAGCTCTCAGGGTGTCCCAGCCTGGGTTGGGGTTCACTCCGAGAGGGTTGGGACTTGCTTGAGGCTGTACGACTTGGCCGGGCTGATTCCAGGCGGTGCCACTTCCCTCGAGGCTGCCACCGCCAACCCCTCTGCGGTGGTCATTCCCCGCCCCCACCCTGGAAGATGCTGTCACTCAGGTGCCCCAGGCCGGCGGGGGACACTGGGGCCCAGCCTGGGACTGAGGGAGAGGAAACCTGAGGAGACATACAGAAATTGCCTCCTCCCTGGGACAAAGTCCCCCCACAGGAGGGCGGTCTCTGGGGAACCCCAGACAGAAGGCCCAGGGTCCAGGGCTCAGCTGCTGGGGGGCATTTCCTGGTGCGGTGGGCAGGTGGGCCAGGGGCTGCCCCTCTGTCGGGCCTGCTGCCTCGCCAGTCCTCTCGGCCACCTCTGCAGTGGAAGGTGCACCAGGTCAGTGAGTTCACAGCATCAAAGGCTGACCGCACCGGCCATGGGCAGCCTTCGCCCGGGTACTGGCCCACACAGGTGCCTGCGGGCATGCGGATGTCTAAGTACCAGATCTGGCCCCCCAGCCCTGCAATCCCCCGCCTGGCTATGTGCCCACCCAGGAAAGCTGCTTTGAGGCTGTCTCCTGCTTACTCCTGATCTTGTAGTGTCACGTCTTGCCACATCTGTGAGGGTCCCCTATAGATTAGCAAGGAAACACAGGGAAGCCAGTGTGTCCCCTGGGGACTGGCAGCCCCCATCCCCACAGGGGACGCACCCCAAAGAGGCTTGCAGTCTGCCCGGAGCCAGGTGCTAGGGGCCTGGGAGAGAGACCGTTGCCACCAGAGCTCGGAACAGAACCTTCAGAGGGATGGCCGAGAGGGACGTGTCCACTACCGAAGAGCGCGCAAGCAGCAGCTGGCCCTTGCTTACCTTGCTTATTGGGTAATCCGGGGCTGTGCCCTGTGCCAGGCTGCGTCCCCTGGGGGCCCAGCTCCTGGGTAAACATTAATGGGCCAGGCCATGTGTGAGCACCCAGAGAATCTTTGACCCGCGGCTGCTCACTGGCTTCCCACAGGTGCCCCTCGCCACCCATACAGGTAGGTGCCCCTGAGCCCACGGACACTGGGGGAGGGTCGCTGACCTCTAGGCCCAGGTCAAAGCCCTTCCCAAGACACTGGGAGCCCAGGGCCAGGGAGATGGGCCTGGGGCAGGCCACAGTGAGGGAGGAGGGAGGCTTCCCCGGAGCAAGACTCCGCCATGGGGAGGGGGTGGGCCAGGGACCAGGCAGTGAGGAGATGGCATCCAAGCCCCTTTCCCACCCCCAACCCCCATCCCTGGGGGTGTGGCTCTTATCTGGCAGGAACGTGACTGTTTGGTATCAAATGCCAAAGTCTACCCAGGACCATCTACGGTGTCCTCAGTGCCATCTGATAGGAGAGGTCCCTGAGTTCCTGGCCACTTCCTGCCTGCACCAGGGCACCCTGTGACCTCAGCCTTCTGCAGGGCCTTCACCCTGCCAGGACCAGCCTGGAGCCGGCAGCCAGACCCACTTCCCTTTGAATTGCCCCCTGGAGTGGACAGAACCTGCCTGACGGCTGCCCTGAGGCCATTGTGGCCATCCCCCTGCACCAAGGCAGGTGGGGGAGGGGGACAGTCTCAGAGGGCCAGCTCAGCCAGGGTGGGCCAGGGGACTCCAAAGGCTCACACAGGCTCCTCTCTGTAGATCCAGGCCTGGGTCTGCCCTGCCCAGAGTCCATGTCCAGTCCTCTCACTGGTGGTCGGGTCCCACACCCTGCGGTGGACATGGTGGACAAGAGTCCGGAGAATGCAGGTAATGGACCTCCAGCCCCGGTCTATTCCACCCCAGGTTCCAAGGGGATGGGCCCCTCCTCACCTGCTCCACTCCTGGTCCTCACCCCAAGCCTGTCCCTGCTCTGCTCCCCTTTACCCCGACCAGGGTCCCCAGAAGCAGCTAAGCATCTGCCCTACTTGCCTCCAACCCCTGCAGGGGGCTTTGGTTCCACCCTGGCCCTGGACTCAGGGGAAACTGACCCCTGGGCTCTCCCTGAGCTGAAAGACACCAGTCAGTCCTGGACAGGTAGGTCTGTAGGAAGGAGGGTGATGATGGTCTGAGTGGGGAAGCGGGCCTTGCAGGGCCTCTCAGCGCAAGTCCTCCTGGGACAGAGCAGGCCACCCTGCCCACAGTGGCCCTCCTTCTCTGGAGCCCATTCTGCAAAGGGACAAGAGAAGAGGGGGCACAAGGATCCTGACCTGGAGGGATTTAGGCTCTGAATCCTGGGGGGTGGGGGCAAGGGGACCAAGCCCTATCTCAGGGGGCAGGGGGCCCCTAAGCCCTGACCTGGGGGGTTGGGAAACCCAGGCCCTGACCATGGGAGGGGACCCAGGAACTGACCTGTGGTCGGGGGAGGGGAGGACCTGGGCCCTGGCCTGAGGTGTGTGTGTGGGGGGGAGCCCAGGTCCCCGGGCTGAGGCGGCTGTGTCCTGTACCTTCAGAGCTCAGTGTGGCTGGCAGGGTGCACCGGGTGGTCGTTGGCATCCTCAAAGCCTGTGGTATCCTGGGTAACCTCTACCTCTTCATCTGCTCACTGGACATCCTTAGCTCCGCCTTCCAGCTGCTGGGCAGTGAGTAACCGGTTGAGGGTGGGCAGGGAGGTGGAGCTGTGGCCAGCAACAGCACTCCACAGCCTCACCTCTCCTCTCCTCTGGGCACAGGTAAAGTGGCCGGCGACATCATGGGGGACAGCCCGGTGCTGAGCAACCCAGTGGCAGGCCTGGTCATCGGTGTGCTGGTCACCGTCCTGGTACAGAGCTCCAGTACGTCCTCCTCCATTGTCGTCAGCATGGTGGCCTCCAAGTGTGAGTGCCTCGGGTGCAGAGCAGGGGCCACTGGCAGGGCAGGGGCGGTGGGCAGTCAGGGCTGACCATGGGGGCACCCCACAGTGTTGACCGTCCGGATGTCAGTGCCCATCATCATGGGTGTCAATGTGGGCACCTCCATCACCAGCACGTTGGTTTCTATGGCACAGTCCGGGGACAGGGATGAGTTCCGAAGGTGAGTGAGGCGTGGGAGGGGTGGTCTGGCCGTGGTAGGAAACCCCCTCCCCTGGCCAGGCCCCTGCACAGCTCCTGGGCTGCCCTCTGCAGGGCTTTCGGGGGCTCCGCACTGCACAGCATCTTCAACTGGCTCACAGTGCTGGTGCTGCTGCCGTTGGAAAGTGCAGCCTCTGTGCTGGAGAGGCTCAGTGGGCTGGTCCTGGGCTCGGCCAAACTGGAGCCTGGGGCCCACGCCCCCGACATCCTCAAGGTGCTGACTGAGCCGCTTACACACCTCATCATCCAGGTGAGCAGGCTGCAGGTGGTGGCAGGAGATGGGAGAGGACAGAGGACTAGGAGGGAAGGGCCAGGGGCCAGGTTCTGCTAGGGGGGTGGGGCGGGGAGTAGGGGAGGCAGGGGAGCCAGGAGAGAAGGAACAGAGGACAGAGGGACTAGGCCCTGCCCGGAGGGAAGGGGCAGAGGGACCAGGCCTGTCTAGGGGTAAGGGACAAAGGTGGAGGAGATTGGGCCTGGGAATGGGTTGGGGTAAGAGGTCAGGGCTGGACCCTGAGGGCATCCAGCAACTCTCTGTACCCACCCTCTGCCTCCCAGCTGGACAAGGATCTGATAGCAGGCAGCGCCTCAGGCAATGCCACCAACAGCAGCCTCATTAAACGGTGGTGCAGCACTGGGACACACTCGGTAAGGTGCAGCCCACTCCAAGCCCGCACTACCTTCCTCCGCTCTCCCAGCCTCACCTGCTCGGACCCTTGACCTCCCACCTGCTCACCAAGCTTGACCTGGCCCTGCCTCCACAGACCACTGACAGCGGCACCTGCGGCGCGGTCGGATGCTCCGAGGGCAATGGCACGGCCCCGGAGGACAAGCTGCCCTGTGAGCCCCCACTCCTCGCCCCACCAGCCCTGCTGCCCTGCACCAGGCTGACCGCTCTCTGCCCCTTCAGGCCACCACTTATTTGTGAACACGACGCTCACCGACCTGGCCGTGGGCCTCATCTTGCTGGCGGGCTCGCTGCTCGTACTCTGCGCTTGCCTCGTGCTCATCGTGAAGTTGCTCAACTCGGTGCTGCGCGGCCGCATCGCCCAGGTCGTGAGGACCCTGATCAACGCTGGTGCGGCAGGCGGGGCCTGGGACCTGAGGATGTGGGCGGAGCCTGCTGCTCCAGGCCTGAGGCCAGGGGTGGGGTCTACTGATCTGGCGGGGTGGACCGGGGAGACAGAACTTGCTGCTCCCTGCTTGCATGGAGCTGGGGGCGGAGCCTGCTGCTCTGGGCGGGCCTGGGGACCTGGGGGCGGAGCCTGGTCCTCCGGGGTAACCTCGCTTTCCTCATCAGACTTCCCCTTCCCATTTGGCTGGCTTGGTGGCTACCTGGCCATCCTGGTGGCCACAGGGATGACCTTCATGGCCCAGAGCAGCAGTGTCTTTACAGCGGCCATTGTGCCTTTGATGGGTGAGCTTACCGACAGGTGGGGGCTCCAGCCCTGCTCCATGGTGGCCACAGCAGGGCCAGGGTGAGGGGACTCAGATGGGACCCTTTGATGACCCCTGGCTGGCTCCCCCAGGGGTCGGGGTGATCAGCATGGAGCGGGCTTACCCCCTCTTCCTGGGATCCAACATCGGCACCACCACCACAGCCCTGCTAGCAGCCCTGGCCAGTCCCTCAAACATGCTGCTGGATGCTCTCCAGGTAGGGCCCCTCCACCCCCAGGGCACCCACCTGAACTGGCTTGGGCCTTCTCCTCTGATCCAGCCCAGCCAGGAGGCAAGTCACCGGCCCTAGGGCAACTGGCTGGCCATGGTCAAGTTCTACCAGGCCTCCACTTGTGGTCGCCACTCACACCTGTAGTCCCACCTCCTCAGACCCTGGCTCATGCCTCCCTCTTGCCTGTGCCCTGGCAGGCTTGCCTCCTGAAACCCCAATAGTCTTGGGCCGCTGCCTCCTGGGCCTTTGCTGCTCTCCCTGGCTCAGAGAGGCGATGAGCTAACTTCAGCCCTCCCTCTGCTCATCCCTGTCCCTGAGGAACTCCTAGGCCCAGACGCACTTCCTTCAGGCACTCTGTGTGGCCCTCACCACCCCTTTCTTTCTGAGGGCCCCCACTGCCCCTGCCAGGTGGGGGAGGAAGGGGTGTCCCCAGATGTAGGGACAGCCTGGGAGAGGGGAGTCCTGGAGGGCAGTGAGAAGTGTCCGGTGCTCATCCAGCCTCTGAACTGGGCAAGCTTCGGCCTTGGGGCCTTCGTGTTTGGGGGGTGGGGGGAGTCTTCCCTCTCGTCCGGCCAGGCTTCTGATGGGTGCCCACTTGCCAGGTGGCCCTCATCCACTTCTTCTTCAACGTGGCTGGCATCCTGCTTTGGTATGTGGTGCCGGCCCTGCGGCTGCCCATTCCGCTGGCCAAGAAGTTTGGAGACGTGACCGCCCGCTATCGCTGGGTGGCTATTGCCTACCTGCTGCTCAGTTTCCTGCTGCTGCCCCTGGCGGCCTTTGGGCTATCCATGGCTGGCAGCACAGTGCTGGCTTCGGTCGGCGGCCCCCTGCTGGGGCTGCTGCTCCTGGTCATTCTTATCAATGTTCTGCAGCAGCGCCGGCCATTCTGGCTGCCCCACTGCCTGCGCTCCTGGGCCTGGCTCCCCCGCTGGCTGCGCTCACTGGAGCCCTGGGATCACTTCTTCACCAGCTGCTGCCCCTGCGGTGCCCCCACAGCTGCCTCCAAGGAGGCCCACTGCTACGAGAACCCCGAGGTCCTGGCCTCGCACCCTCTGTGAGAGCCAGACTGGGAGAGGGAGGTCCCTGGACACCTACCTCCCCTACTTTGCCAATAAAGGAAGTTGTGCCCAGTTGTGGTGGCCTTTGCCCAACCTGAGATGGGAATGGGGACAGCCTTGGAGGGGGCCCTGGCCTGGTTTTGTGGGTGGTGGGGGTGGAGGCTGCTGGTGGCCCCCTAACAGACACTTGGGGGACTCATAGGGAGCCAGGATCTGGTGACCCCAGGGGTATGGTGCTAGAAGTGACCACCCGAGCCTCAGGCTGTAATAGCTTTGTTCTCTCCTGGCTTCCGCAAACAACTGGCCTTAAGCAAGGGAGAGGGCCAGCTAGCTGGCTGGCCAGGGTGGTGGTGGTAGTGGTGTGTGCCGAGCCTCCCAGAGTCCTCAGTCCCATCTGCCTCCTCCTCCCAGACTCCCAGCCACGGGGGTGCCCAGAGGACCATAGCCAGGGCACAGAGCCTCCTCTGCCCACCCATCCCCATCTGTGGTGGTCAGCTAGCAGGACATCAAGGGCTGAGGACTAATGCCCGCCAGGTGGGGGTGGTGAGAAGGGGACAGGAGGTCTGCAGGATGGCTCATCTCCAAGGCATCCCCTCTCCTTTGGTTTTCTCAGGCCCTTCCTTCAGCCCCTGCAGTGGGGAGGCTGCCCAGGTGGGTGGATGCACAGTGAGCAGCCTCGGCCCAGGGCTTCTCTGCCACCAGGGGGCGATGCTTGGCCAGGCTCCTGACACAGACACTGGATGGAAGCCCAGCTTCGAATGACACCTTTGGCCTTGCCAACCCCTCCGGTCCGGGACCTCCTGAGTCCCTGCACCTGTCCCTGTAGCAGGTGGCCAAGGGGAGGGGCAGCCAGGAAGGCCACCTGGCCTGGTGCCCTAAGCTGGGGCTCAGGTTTCTGCAGGAGAGTTGTGTAGTGCAGGTAACACTGGCCACTGCCTCCTGCCCAGGGCTGCCCCGGGCCCAGCCTGATCCCAGCACCCCAAGGAGAGCGCTCTGAAAGGATTATGGCTGTCATGGTGGAACAGGTCTCCTCAGCCAGGACCTGTGTGCAGGCAGACAGCTGACCCAACCTCCCTTAGGACTTGTCTGGCACACATGCTTCTAGAATTCTCTGCTGTGGCATGAAGCCTCCCCCATCCTGGGATGCTCACTGCCTTGAAGGAAACCCACCTCTCCTCTCAACAGCCTCCCTCCCCTGCTGGAAGCTCAGGTGTGAAACGTGGAGCTGGGCAAGGAGACCCAGGTCATTTCCTGCAGGAGCCCTCGTTCTCCCCCACCCCAACCTTGCTATTCCCCGCCTTGTGAGGCCTTCCAGAGGCTGGGGTTTGGGCAACCAACCAGGAATAGGGATGTTGCCCTGGGGACCACAGGACTCTGGGTGGGAGCCAGGATCTGCCCTGCACCCCACTTTTGACTCCACCCACTTGCCTTGTGGTATCCTCTGCTGTCCCCCTCAGGAGGGAACGTGGGGTAGCTGGAAGAAAGGCTGCTCACATCCCTCCTTCCGGGGCGGGTGAGGCCGCCCACAAAGGCTGACCATGAGGCCTTTGAGGCAGGAGGTAACTGCACCCTCCCACGGGGACCATGGGCGCAGGTAAACAAAGCGCACTTGAGTCCTTTTCCGTGGGAGGGGCCAGCTGGTACTCCACAGCCGGACTCAGGATCCAGGACACTTCTGCCCCACCAGCCACACACAGATCCTGCGGGGCCCACACCCCACTTCCAGGCCATAAACAGCACCCCCTGCCCACTGTGCTGTGCCCCGCTGGGCAGTGTAGGCAAGGACCAACTGTGGGCATTGACCTCACCCTTGCATGCCACCTGCAAAGTGGGGCAAGGCACTGACTTCACAGCTCTTGGGGGACCAGTCACTAAACCCACTGCCATTGAGGGGGTTCTGACTCTGACCCTATAGGGCAGGGTAGAACCACCCCTGCATTTTTAAAATAATTGTATTGAAGGGCTCTTAGAGATCTTAGAACAATTCATAATTCACTTGTATCAAGCACAGGTGTACATATGTTGCCATCATCCTTTCCAAAGCATTTTCTACTTGAGCCCTTGGTATCAGCTCCTCTTTTTTCCTCCCTCCCCACCCTCGTGAGTCTTTGATCATTTCTATAGTATTATTACTTCGTATCATACTCCCTTCACCCACCTGTTATTGGTCCCCCTTGGTGGGGAGGGGGGTGTGGATTTCTGAGACTAACTCTTGACAGAAGGCCCATCTTTCCCCTGTGGGGCTGCTGGTGGTATTGGACTGCTGACCTGGGGGTCAGCAGACCAACTTGGTAACAATGACACCACCAGGGTTCCCAGTGCTAGGCTCAAGCTGCGCACAAGGGGTTAGTGGGGCAGGAAGCCTTTTGGGGGGCATTCAAAACATCCCCAAGAGCAACCACAGTATGGCTTGGGGAAGAAATGGGGGTTGCCCTTCCTTCTTGGCTTGTGAAAACCAGTGCTATTGGTCTGGGCAGTTCAGGCACTTTGCAGCCAAGTCAGGGGAGGTTTGAGGCACCTTGAGGACCTCAGGCCTGGGTGGCCCTCTCCATCCCTAAGGGATAAGGTCTGTCTCAGGTGGTTAACAGAAGCCAGCCTAGCCTTCTGGGCAGGCCAGTGGGAAGGGTCCCCGGGTAGGCACAGACCCCTCTCCGTGGACTGGCCCTGGAGACTTTCACCCAAAGATGAATCCTCCCCGTCGGTTGGCAGTGTGTGTGTGTGTGTGTGTGTGTGAGAACTCCCAGAGTAAGGGAGCGTTCTCAAAGAAGTGTCCCAAGGGTCAGGAGATTGAGGGCGTGAGAAGTTCAATAAGCCCAGACTTCAGAGGCCCCCAGGACTCCCTCCTAACCCAGGACAAGTCTCAGGAGGCCGCCCATCCAGGGCAGTTCCAACTGTGTCTCTTCCTCTTTCTAAAGTTCTACAAAAATAAAATGCAAGCATGTCATTTTCTAAAAGTAACTGCAGGTACAACTACATTTAACTCTTGTTCCTTTCCTTTCCTTGTGTGTGTGTGTGTGTGTGTGTGTGTGCACGCGCCCCCCCACCCTCCGATCTAAATTAGGGGGAAATAAAAGCGTGTTTTAGGCGCTGGTGTCCAGCAGGGAGGCGGCCATTGCTGGTGCTCACGGAGGGCGGTCCCGCGGCCCGCCACCGCCCAGGTTTCCGGGCAGCCCGGTGCAGTGCGCACCTCTTGAGGCACAGACGCCAAGACGACCGGGCGCCACGCCAGCGTCTCCACAAACACAGCCACGCAGAGGCCAGGGGCAGGGCCCCCGGGAGCAACTGAGGGAGGGGGGAGAGAAGGCGGACCCCGCCCCCCCTCGTGGGCCCCACGTGCCCCCCGCCCCCATTTACCCGACGGCCAGGGGAGCAGGAAGCTCCTGCCCCACCCCCACGAGCCTCTGCCCGTAGGGGAACCGGGGGAGGGGGTTCGGCGGAAGGTTCCCTCCCCCACCAGCACCTCGGCCCGGCGCCACCGCTGCTTTGGCACCTGCCCCTTGTTTATTAGTGCGACTAGCAACGCGTCCCTCCCTCCGGGGAGACCTCCAGGGGCTAGCCCGCGCGGGGGCCTCTCAGGTGGCCGCGGCCCTCTGAGGCTCTCCTCCCGGGGCCCCGGGGCCCCTACTTCCAGGGCCCCCGCACAGCACGGACTCCAAATGGCCCGAGTCCCGGAGGCACTAGCCCTCGAGAAGGCGCACACGGCGGCCCGGCGGCCAGACTCGGGCAGTAGACACGCTTCGCGCGGCAGCTCGGGAGACAGGGCGCCGCTCGCCGCGGCCGGAATCTTCCTCGGCCTCCGCCCTGAGACGGGCTTGCCTTGACCCCCTCGGGGCCTGTCCTCGCCGGCCGCCCGGCCGGAAGCCCGCACCGCGGCACGAGCGCGCGCCCAGAGCCCGCGCCCGCCCTTCCGCGCGCGGAGCTCGCTGCACTGCGGCGGTTACCAGGACGCTAGCCGGGCTCCGCCAATAGCACCTGGTGGTCGGCGTGTTCCCCAGCGTCAGCCAATGAACACACAAATCAATCATTTGAAACACCCAATGAGCAGAGCACTGCGGCGCGAAGGGGGGGGATTCTTAGGGAGAGCCGCGGACTATGGCTGACCAATAAAAAGAGCATAATGCTGGGAAGGCGGGCTATAGGGACCAAGATGGATGGAGAAGGGACCAATCAAATGATGAATCTCGCCAGCCTCGCTCTAGCAGCCCAATAAGAGGCCGGCGGGGGCGGGCATAACGAGTATATAAGGGTTCGCCCAGCGTCGGTTGTAGCAGTCTGCGCGCTCCCCTCTCGCTCCTGTCTTCGTCCTCCTGCCCGTGACGCCGCCGCTGCCGCCATGAGAGAAATTGTGCACCTGCAGGCCGGGCAATGCGGAAACCAGATTGGCGCCAAG